AAGTCTGTGAATCCCCCAAAAACGAATTATACAGATGATTAACAAAACATGCACATGACAGAATTCATACCTTGGTTTTTGTGGTAAATGTGAATGAAAAAAACTGTTTTATAATGGTTTTCATACACATACCTTGTCCATAATGTAGAGGCCTATGGGATATTCATTGAAGAGGTAAGGGAAGAGGATGGTAAATGTGATCTGCATAACATACCAATACCAATTGACACACCTTTGTATGCCTCCTCGTTTGTAAACCTGCAGACACAGACACAAAAGTGAGCTGTTCAGTCATCTGCAACCAATACAGCTAGCCTTCAACATATTCTTATAGCATACATATTCTTACCTCTTTGTTGATTGATATCCATTGAATTGTATCCATTTTCTGTTTTAGAAAGATTTGCACAAATATGAAAAGCTGGATGGTATCATCATAAAACAATATCAATTTAGATCATACAAGGGACAAACCTTACCTTAAATTGAGGAGATCTTTACATTTTTCAGTTAAGTGGCTGCACCTGCTGCCCTTTCAAATCCAAGTGTTTCAGTTGGGCAGTTAGGCTCCTGCAAGAACCCCCACCAACTAAGGAGGTTCCTCGATGAACCCCATCCTCCTATGGGGTTCTTGGAAGAACCTTTTGGGGGACATTTTCAGTGCCAAGAACTGAGGATCTTAGAAGAACCCTTGTTGAACCCCTAATTTTTAGAGTGTATGGAGGGTGTGACGCAATTGCGGAGCCTCCCGAGGCATGCAGAGGCCAAATCCAGCTCCGTACTGCATCTCCATGCACCTCCCAAATGTTGTAACAATGCGGAGGGCTCTGTATACAGTAGCTCCGCATTGACATGATTGGTTGACAGTAGGTGGGGGCGATACATCCTGTATAAACACAAACTCACTTCCTTGACAACTTCCTTCACAACAGTTTTGCACTGCGCAAGAAGTATGAATGTCCTGATTTTGGCCGAGGCCGTATCACCGTAAATGCTGCATGGCCAATGCATACGTCGATTGACCATGCGCCCAGATGCACAATGCACTTCTTTCTCCAGAATGCGCTCTCTCCCGCCAATTTGTGCACATTCATTGTTTCATAACTTCACTGTGTGAATTGTTTGCATTTGATTGTTATTGTATATCAATTCTCCGTTACATATATTACCAGTAGTACATTTACCGTTATTTCCTATAATTTCTAATCTACAATGTTTGTTACTACAATGTTTGTTAATATTTTCTTCACCTCAAACAGCAAGCAAACAAAGTCTGTTTTTGCAACCATTGAGAATTACAATAGTTCCTCAGTGTATTTGAAAAACTCTTTCCAGCTCTCTCTCTTTCGATAACCACTCAGCGTGAAAGGGGAAAATGTCATGGTCTGATCCAGTGGAAACGTCATAAAATAGGCCTACCTGACTACTTCTTATCACTGCTTGACTTGGACTGAAATAGGTTCCGGTACTCATTTTGGGTGCTGGTACTGTTTATATTTAGATGCAGGAGCTCCACAATACTTTTGAGCTAATATTATTTTACCCCCTTTTTCTCCCCAATTTCGTGATATCCAATTGCGATCCAATTACGATCTTGTCTCATCGCTGCAACTCCCCAACGTGCTCAGGAGAGGCGAAGGTGGTATTATTTTAGTGGCAAAGCAGAAATGAGGTAAACTCCCAACAGAGCCCCAAATCCAATCGATATATCCTCTGGCGTGTTGATGTTGATGTTCTCCTTATCTATAGCCAGAATGATTTTTCAGTGCATGGTGATCGAAAAGGTTTCCTGTTATATTCATCAGAGGTGTAGGGAGGGTGAAGTCTGAATCCAATCCAGAGGCTGATCCAGTGTCTGTCTGTCTGTCCCTTCCAGATGATCTCAGCCCAGAAGCAGCTGATTGAGAACGCAGACGCTGTGCAGGAGAGGATTGCACAGGTTCAGAGAGAGGGTGAGAGGCGAGGAGAAGGAGGAGATCGATGGACAGATGGAGAAATAGAAAATGAATGTGTAACCAGCCACAGTAATAACAAACCCTGGATCCTGACTTCAGGAAGTCTAGCAATGTGATAATAATAACTTGTATCTATTAACTTAAGTGTTCTACTGAAGTGTGTTGAAGAGCTCCATCTTGTGTGTTTTATTGTGTACCCCTGTCAGAAGAGATATGCTGTATCAAGTGCATTGCCCTATATGGGAGAAAGTAAATAGCTGGTTTTGATTTACCATACTAATAAACATATACAGTGGGGAAAAAAAGTATTTAGTCAAATCAAATCAAATCAAATTTTATTGGTCACATGCGCCGAATACAACAGGTGCAGACATTACAGTGAAATGCTTACTTACAGCCCTTAACCAACAGTGCATTTATTTTAAACAAAAAAAGTAAGAATAAAACAACAACAAAAAAAGTGTTGAGAAAAAAAGAGCAGAAGTAAAATAAAGTGACAGTAGGGAGGCTATATATACAGTAAAATAAAGTGACAGTAGGGAGGCTATATATACAGGGGGGTACCGTTGCAGAGTCAATGTGCGGGGGCACCGGCTAGTTGAGGTAGTTGAGGTAATATGTACATGTGGGTAGAGTTAAAGTGACTATGCATAAATACTTAACAGAGTAGCAGCAGCGTAAAAAGGATGGGGGCCACCAATTGTGCAAGTTCTCCCACTTAAAAAGATGAGAGAGGCCTGTAATTTTCATCATAGGTACACGTCAACTATGACAGACAAAATGAGGAAAAAAATTCCAGAAAATCACATTGTAGGATTTTTAATGAATTTATTGGCATATGATGGTGGAAAATAAGTATTTGATCAATAACAAAAGTTTCTCAATACTTTGTTATATACCCTTTGTTGGCAATGACACAGGTCAAACGTTTTCTGTAAGTCTTCACAAGGTTTTCACACACTGTTGCTGGTATTTTGGCCCATTCCTCCATGCAGATCTCCTCTAGAGCAGTGATGTTTTGGGGCTGTCGCTGGGCAACACAGACTTTCAACTCCCTCCAAAGATTTTCTATGGGGTTGAGATCTGGAGACTGGCTAGGCCACTCCAGGACCTTGAAATGCTTCTTATGAAGCCACTCCTTCGTTGCCCGGGCGGTGTGTTTGGGATCATTGTCATGCTGAAAGACCCAGCCACGTTTCATCTTCAATGCCCTTGCTGATGGAAGGAGGGTTTCACTCAAAATCTCACGATACATGGCCCCATTCATTCTTTCCTTTACACGGATCAGTCGTCCTGGTCCCTTTGCAGAAAAACAGCCCCAAAGCATGATGTTTCCAACCCCATGCTTCACAGTAGGTATGGTGTTCTTTGGATGCAACTCAGCATTCTTTGTCCTCCAAACATGACGAGTTGAGTTTTTACCAAAAAGTTATATTTTGGTTTCATCTGACCATATGACATTCTCCCAATCCTCTTCTGGATCATCCAAATGCACTTCAGACGGGCCTGGACATGTACTGGCTTAAGCAGGGGGACACGTCTCGCACTGCAGGATTTGAGTCCCTGGCGGCGTAGTGTGTTACTGATGGTTGGCTTTGTTACTTTGGTCCCAGCTCTCTGCAGGTCATTCACTAGGTCCCCCCGTGTGGTTCTGGGATTTTTGCTCACCGTTCTTGTGATCATTTTGACCCCACGGGGTGAGATCTTGCGTGGAGCCCCAGATCGAGGGAGATTATCAGTGGTCTTGTATGTCTTCCATTTCCTAATAATTGCTCCCACAGTTGATTTCTTCAAACCAAGCTGCTTACCTATTGCAGATTCAGTCTTCCCAGCCTGGTGCAGGTCTACAATTTTGTTTTTGGTGTCCTTTGACAGCTCTTTGGTCTTGGCCATTGTGAAGTTTGGAGTGTGACTGTTTGAGGTTGTGGACAGGTGTATTTTATACTGATAACAAGTTCAAACAGGTGCCATTAATACAGGTAACGAGTGGAGGACAGAGGAGCCTCTGAAAGAAGAAGTTACAGGTCTGTGAGAGCCAGAAATCTTGCTTGTTTGTAGGTGACCAAATACTTATTTTCCACCATAATTTGCAAATAAATTCATTAAAAATCCTACAATGGGATTTTCTGGATTTTTTTTCCTCAATTTGTCTGTCATAGTTGACGTGTACCTATGATGAAAATTACAGGCCTCTCTCATCTTTTTAAGTGGGAGAACTTGCACAATTGGTGGCTGACTAAATACTTTTTTCCCCCACTGTACCTACCCCAGATGTCGGTCTAGAACATGAGCCTTAAAAGGAGAGAAACTACTCACAAAAGAGCTTGAGACAAAAGGATAGCAATGGAAAAAGTGAATGTGTTTTAATTCCCTGCTCAAGTGTGACATTTAAATTAGCTTAATTATATAATAACATGTTTCAACTTTAATGATATGGATTGTCTTTCTGTTACCTACCGCTAGCCTCAGCTCTCACTGACACGTAATTATGTATCTCTGTCTCATTCTCTGTCCCTGTCTCGTCTCAGGAATGGAGTTTCATGAGGCGCTGCCTAGGCTGGGAGAGAAGGAAGGTCTGAAGGGACGCAAGCAGAGCAAAGCCCTGGAGAGTTTCACCTGGAACATCACTGTACTCAAGGTACTCATGGAGGCACAATACAATAAACTTTGTCACCAAGAGGAAGATGTCTTGGACACAATTATGCTACTGTATATTATATAAACACCCACCCACACTCTCTCTCTCTCTCTCTCTCTCTCTCTGTCTCTGTCTCTGTCTCTGTCTTTGTCTCTGTCTCTCGCTCTCTACCCCGCTCTCTCCCTCGCTCTCTCTCCCCATCTCTCTCCCTCCCTCCATCTCTCCCTCTACAGGGTCAGTGTGATCTCCTGCATGGTGCCAAGGCAGACTCTCTGGATGCTCTGAGACAGTTGGCCCTGGCCTGTGAAGCCTGTGGCTTCACCTCTACCACCTCCTCCGGTCCCTCGGACCCCCTCTACACCCCTCACGGCAGGAGGGGCAGCACCCATGGCAATGGACGAATCTGACACACCCAACCTACCAGCGAGAGGGAGGGGGGAGAGAGAGATCGAGTGGAAGAGATGGTGACACCCGCCCAAATCCCAACCCACCAGAGAAAGGGAGGGAGGGGGTGGGCACAGAGAGAGAGATTGAGAAAGATATGACATTTGGAATGGTCTAGAATAGAGCCCAGAGCCTATCCCTTTATCCAGAATAAGACTACTGAAGAATTGTTGCAGTAATTTGACACTTACTTTGTGTTCATCAGTCCTGAGGCTTTTTAACAAAACATGAATGTTCTTACGTTATGTAAAAAACACGTGTGCTTATTTAACTATGTGTACTTGAACATAATATAACTTTCTCAATTTATTTCTGACGGAAAAAGATGGACTAAATGAAAACCTTTTCTCAATGGGGTTTTTCTCCCTAAAAAGGGAATTGTGATTGTGAACACAAAACATTGTTCTGCGGAGAGAAGCTTTTGCTGTGAGGATGAGTGGAAGAGTGATGGTGACTTTTATGTTTAAGTTCTTCTCTCTGTGGACCCTGTATGCTGAACCTAATGTTTGGATTTTGGTCAACTCACCAGTTCTGAGCGCAGTGGTTTCAAGAAACTGTTTTAAGTTCTTCCTAACATTTCAAGCCCAGAGAGTCTATGGAGGAGTCAATTACATTTTCCCAGTGATTCACAACAACAAGCACATGTTCTACTCTGTTAGCCGGGGCTGTCTGCCCTCCTGAAGACTCTCCACCCACATGCATCCACCTAATTTATCCCTCAGAGGAACTGATGTAACGCTGTTGATGAGAGCCCGTCTCGCCGTGGATACAACAGGTGGGCTGTCAGTCAGGGATGGAGTGACAGGTGACCCCCCCCCCCCCCCCCCCCCCCCACCCCGTCCCACCGACACACAGCTACAGTTACAGGAACACAAGACCCCTTCCACCCTCCCTCCGCGCTTTCCCTTCATGCATCCCTCTCTTCCTGCCGAGACCCTCAATGCGTGGAGCCAGTGTCTTGAATGTCTAGCCTCTTTGGCAGACCCCTCACCCCTCCTCACCCCCTCTCCTCGGCCCTGAGAGAACCCACCAGGTATTCTGTCCTTTTCAGTAATGCTAGAGGGGGACATGAGAAGATGAGAGCATGTGTTGGTAGTCCTACATAACATGGCTTAACGCAGCTTCAGACCACTAACTAATACCTGACACCATCTACCAGATGGCTAGGGGCTGACAGGGACTCAGTATCACGATAGTTGACAAAGACAACCTGAAAACAACCTGACATTTTACCAAGAGGACATGCTGAGTGTCATTAATTGATTGTGTTGAAAAGGCTTGGTTGATTGATAGATGTGTATTTCCCTACACAAGGACATTATTGGCATGGCTGTGTTGCTATGAGGGAATTATAGGGGGCCCTTTCTCTATGTGTTGACTGACAGAATGTTCTGGGTTTGTCCCAGCTTAAAAAACTCACTCAGCAACACTGATGTACTCTGACAAAGAACTACAAAAATGGCGCTACTAGGCGCTATTACTAACCTCGGTGTGTTTTTATGCTTGTCCACTTCTGATGGTGGAGTGTGGGACATTAAATGGGGTATTCATACCGATTGTCATTCTGGGGTTGGAGGTGACGTTGTACCGTCTCTACAGTGACGTTCAACACACACAGCAGTAATGTTGGAGGAATAAAAGAATGCTGCATAAGAAAGGCTATTACCTAAAGGAAAACTCATGCCCCTTATCATAGCACACGTACTAGGCCTAAAGACTCGGCCTCTGCATTAACCCCATATGTGCACTTTTGAACAAAACGACAGATGAGTCGTTCCTCGAAAAGAGTTCCTTTTGCATCTCTTTGATATTTTAAGTAGAAATTTTGCACCATAATGAATTTGAAAAGCCTGTTATATTAAATGAAGTGCCCTTTAATATAGACCACATTGAGAATTCAATATCCTTATAATGAATAAAGTGCTAAAGTGCCAAAATTCAGCATTTTGACATGTCCCTCCATGCATCCTCAGTCACTTCTAGGAAGATTTTAACCCACTTAACCCCAACATTTCTCCCAAGTTTTCACCATCATTGTGACGTCCTAGTTATTTTGTTGCTTTGACAAAGTCAATTCTGAAGATTATTATTTATTTTGTGTGGTTAGTGATTAATTTACATCTGTCCCTCATTTAAAGGTCAACCCTGTTACGTGAACTGAACTCTCTTTTTAATATGGTGAAACTATTTCTTAAAAAAAAAAAGTTCAAAAGAAACATTTAACAGATATTGGTTAAATCATAGTGTAAGAGCAGGTGGGCTGGTTCTACTCTTTTTGACCATTTTCTGGTGTTTTGTGGTGGAAAACTGAGCGGGTCGAGCATAACGCGTCAACCCTTTTATCCATAGATAGACAAGCTAGAAATGTTTTAACAATTTAAAGCTTGCATTCACTTGCCCCTCACAATAATCTTCCATTCCCCCTGTCGCAAGGGGATTTATGACTGATTTAAGATGAAATCGTCAACCCTGTTACGGTCAACCCTGTTACTTTATTTGGCACTTAATAGGCACTTACTATAGTAATGTTTGTATTTAAAACCTCTTGAGATGGAACGACCCAGATACAGAATACTAAAATGGCGTGTCTAGCCTAATCAGCTCGACTGGTGTGTTGATGTTTTTGCTGTATAGAGACTCTACAAATCTTAAATAAAACCTCTGATCTAACAGCACTCTGGTCCAACACCATAGTTCTTTACTTTACTATACTATAGTAACTCTCTGTAAACCTTAAAGGCCATCTTGCAAGTTCAATTTGGTTAAATTTTTCTAATAAATATAGAATAGTCCCCCCTCTATGGTGTGACTTATGCCGCGTTCAAAACAACTAGTGCATTCAAGACAACTGGAAATTCTGGAGAAAAAAAACTAGCTTCATCCAACTCGGAAATCCAAGTCGGACACTCTGGCATCTTTCTAGAGTGCCGACTTTCCGACCTGAAGATCACTAACGTCATGATTTGACCTCGTATTTCAGAGTTTCCAGTTGTCTTGATGGCCCCATTATACCGTCCTTATAGTGATGTGTGTGTGTGTAGGCTACGGCTGCATCCAAAATGGCACTCTCCCTAGTCCCTACATAGTGTATTACTTTAGTAGTGCACTATATAGGACATAGGGTGCCATTGGGATAGATCTTATGTCTGTCTGTGTCTGCTATCTCCTCTGACCGAGCATTCAATCAAATGTTTGTTTTGTCCCGTCGGTGTACACTCTTGTCACTGTATGTTGTCTTTGTAAAAACAAATATAGAAGAGGATTTATTGAAGGTGATGACGAGTGTTTTAAAACCAAAAAATATTATATTAAATGGCCCTAGCTTTTATTTTGAAAAGCTAGTTTGTTTTCTATCTGATTAACCAATGTAACAGTTGTACCCTGACTAAATAAAACAATATTTTACTGACCATTAAATCGCCTCGTCTCCTTTCTTGTCTTCCATATAATCACTATGGAAACGTCACATTGGTTCTCTCTAAAACATAAGCCTTTCTCTTAGAAAAGAAGGATGCATTTTGAAGGTAATGGATCTGAGCCTCAGTTTTGATGGCCAGTAGTAGTTGGGACTAATAGAGGTGTAGTTTGCCAGAACAGCCAGTAAGTGGAGGTGTTTATTAAGAGAACATGGAATAATCCCTAGTAGGCTACTGCACTGAGCGTTTTCCTCAGGGTCACTGCGCTCTCGCATACTTTGGAAGTCCCTAACCTTAACCCCTACCCTAACCTTAACCATAACCCTTACCCTAACCTTAACCCTCACCTTAACCATTTTAAATGTCTACTTCAATGGGGTAGGGAAGGAAAACAACACTCTCCCACTCTGACTATCTCTATCGCTCTCCCCTCTCCCTCTCTCTTGGTCCTGTACACTGGGCGATGTCTCAGGCCTCAGGGGGTTGTGTGCAGCAGATGGGAGGTGATGGAACTCTGTGGTAGTGGAGGAGGAGACATGACAGGCCTGTCAGCTCCTAATGCAGGGGGAACATCTGGCTGCCACTCGCCCCATCACCACCCTTACACACACACACCTTCACTACCATCCCCACAGGGTCCCCAGCAGGGCCCTTTAGCCTGGGGCCACTAGGGGCCCCACAGGGGGCTACACAGGGCCATGGTGGGGCTGGGGCCTCATAGACACACAGCACAGGAGAGAAGATGGGTAGAGTTTATTTTTAAAGACGCCGCCTTATATTTTAAAGTGAAGGAATAGTGAAGCATAACATGTTGAATTATTCCACAGCTTTGAGGTGTTCACTCCTGAGTCGGTCTATGTGCTAATAGTCTATCCTATATGATGAGGTTGTGAAATAGGGAATGACAGAATCTGAATGTTGGTGCAAGGACCTACTGAATAACTGTAGGCTGTCTTGAAGCATTCCCACTGGGCACACCACGTCATTTCAACATGGACATTTGGGTAATACTTGGTTGAGACGTTGATCAATGAGATTTTGACCTTAATTCACCCACTCGAAAAGGACAGCAATACGTTTGTTGAATTCCCAATGTGTTATAACTATGCTTTCAACCATCTAAAAGCACAACAAAGTTCAAATGGCAACACAATGTCTGATATTTTTTATTTATACAACAACTTAATGTGTTATCACTGTGCTTCATCTGATAGCACAACCAAAGGAACTGGATTGCAGTTGAGATTACATTAAAAGTACATAGTGCAAGTCATCAATGCTGTTAGAGATTATGCACAGATTATTATAACAATTGTGAAGATTTCCACAGACCTGGGACCTTTGCATGCTATCTTGAACATGCACACTTTCTATGATTACATAAGAAGACACTTATAGTAACAGTAACCTCAATGTGACCATGGATGTGTTACTCATTTTAAGGTTGAATAAATACTGTTACATTAGTTTGTATGATAGCCTTAACTTTTGGCTATTTACTGTATTACAAAAGTAATATTGAATTGTGTTTGGGTGACAACACAACC